CATTGTCGATAGAGACACTTATATTAAATAACCCCAAAACCCCAAAACCCCATGATGAATAATGAATAAAAAGCATACATTAATTGAAGGAATATAATAATTAAGTAAAATTTTTATGAGACGTAAAATTGAATTTTAATTTTTACCTCCAAGAGGGCAATTGACTTCAACATGCAGAGTATGTTTAAACATAAGTCTAATCGTATAGCCAAAATTGAAAGAGTCAGATGTTCCTATTCGTAGTTCGATGAGTGATTCTACTAAATATCAAACAGTAGTTTCTTAGGGTGCAGTCTATATCAAGAAAATAGAAGTACCAAAATCTACTGAAAATGTGCCAAATTATCGCAAAGTTAAAGTTGACAAAAAGGTAGTGTATCTAGAAACTAATGTTTACATATTTTAGACTTTTTACGGAAAAGATATAAATTGGGATGATGATTAAGGAGTTGATATAGAATTGCAAGGACTTTCTTCAATAGCTTCTGTCACTGAAAATAGAGGCAATGAGATAGGAATCGCCATTTATACTCCCTTCAAAAATAGAATAGCTTTAGTCTAAATGCTTGATACTGCATTATACTCTTATACAAGTATGGTTCTAATAGGGTCGTTAATATTATTAGCTAATGTGATGGAGAAATTTGAAGTCTAAGAAGTCATACTAAGCAATGTAAGTTTATTACTAACTAATGAGCAAATAGTCTTGCAAGGATCTATAGCTGCATTAAAGCATATAAAATTACATTTCTGATCAAAGCAGACTTTATTTAATAGGTAAGCACAACCATATATAATTTCAACCTACCTGGTAGATCGAAATTAGTATAATGAATATGAAGGAGAAGATTTACTTTCAGACTTCCTGGACAAAAACTAGAAGGAGATAGACAAGTGCCCTTCAAATTATGTCTCAAATACTTGCTTATCTGCTTTAATACTGCATCTAGATCTTAGATATAAAGTTTCAATAGACAAATTTAATACTAAACTGATTTTCCATACATTAAACAATACACTCTACATAGATCATATTACTAATCAGCTGCTCTATCTCACTTAAAATGACTAATCTCAATTTATTGAAGGTGAGATATCACTGCTCAGTTTATTTAAGCCAATGACTATTTTAGGAAAAAAACTCCTACGCAAAATAATAATTAGTCCTACTTGCAAAGCTGCAAAACTTAACTATCTCTATGACATTTTGGAAAAAATGATGGGTAGCAAAGATATTTGCAGGACTTTATACTAAATTCTAAAGAATTTGAATTGTTTTGAGAGTTCATTCGTTCAAGTGGTGTATGTAATGAAAAAGTATACAATAAATAGGCCATCAACATTTCTTGGGAATCTTATAAGATTTGTGAATCGAATGAAGAGATGCTTCCGACTTATGAAATATATTTAAGAAAGAATCCCTTGCATGAAGGTTTAATTAGATAAGATTGACACTAATAACCTCTCTGAATTTCTCTAGCTGATAGAGTCATATTTTAATGTGGATGATCCGATTGATAACGTAGAGGAGGAAAAAACAGGTGAAAACTTTTTCAAAAAAATACCCAAAAATTAGCAGTAAAACAGAGGTAGAGTGGGTTTGGAAATTATTAAAAAGCTCAGGTATAATCCAAACTCCAAAATTGGATTTCAAGCTGCCTTAGCGTTAAAGCTGAACACCGAGGTATAGGAGTATACAAGACTGGTCATCAAGAAAATTGAGGAGAGATTCGGTATAATGGGACTAAAGATGAAGTAAGATTCTTAAATAGGCTGGTATATAAGCATTAAGTAGGAGGACTATCACGAAAATCAGCCATTATTCAAAGATTATCAGGCTAAGACTTTAAAGCAGTCTTATTAAATGGTTGACTCATCGATGTAAGTTTCTAATGAAAGGATTGCAGGCTTATTGAAGTTAGTGAATGCCGAGCTTTAACAGTAAGATTCAGGATTATAACTTATAAATCTGTAGGCTTATGGAACAGTAGATATTTACAAGGATTAGGAAATGTCAAAATGACATCACAAGACTATTTTCTCTAATAGCAAGAGTTGATGTCCAGTTATGCTATGCAACTTACCTAAGAGAATTAAATATACAATATTCTCGACCCGTCATTCTTGAGCATTCTCTATCATGCAAAATTTCTCCGTTTCTATACGTAGAGCAAGCCAAGCATCCATTATTTCTAAAATTCTATGGAGACTTTAAGAAGTTCAGCTAAGTAAGATTATTCCAGTTTCTTAATTGATTGATAGTTGGATGTGAAGTTGAACAGTCTTGCTTCTAAGGTATGTCTAATTGAAGGTAAAAATGGTAGTGGAAAGACAACCTATATGAAGATGATCTAGACAATTTTAGTGCTAGCTTAAATCGGGTGCTTTGTACCTTGTTCTAGATTTATATACACACCTTTGAAGGCGATATTTTGCCGAGCAGGAGTCATTGATTCAATTGAAAAAGGAGAGTCTAGCTTTATTCATGAGCTGTAGGAAATAGGTGTGGTTATCAATCAGATATCCTAGTACAGAAAGAACGAAGTCATGATTTTCTTTGATGAACTTGGAATAAATACCTCTCTTGAGTAGGGCTTCCCTCTCATGTGGTCTATCTGTGAGCATTTGCTTCAGATGAAGAACGTAGTATCAGTCATATCCACTCACAACTAGCTTATGAATGAATTAATGAAAACTTATAAATGTGTGACTATACTTCAGTTGAAGCTTTTGCCAGATTTGAAGGATAGATTAAAGTTTCACCATCATGTTGAAGCAATCGATCTTTTTAACTAGACTGAGAGCAAAGACTAAACTTAGCCACTTTAAGACTAATCAAATCCTGAATAGGATGATGAAGGTCGTAACTAAGTGGAAAATGGAAATTTGCCTAGCGAGTACTTCAACCCCAATTTCTATAAATTGCTCCAGCAAAATTAAAAGATTATCCAAAAGCACTTTGAAAAGTCCATTTTTTATTCCAGTGATAATTTAGCTCCAAATAAATATACCTAGGAAAAAATCTAAAAGGAAATTGCAGCTAGAAAGGCTATTAATAGGGTGGCAGATTTTTTTATAAATTTTGATAACAAAAAGTTAAGAGATGAAATTGCTGTTGAGATGAAAAATTATCTATATTCTTAGAAATGATTTTATATTTATTTCTTATAATAATTTAATTAATATTGATGCTCGTCACGGGGTTTTGGGGTTTTGGGG